TGATTTCCTCGTCGAGTCATACGTAGGATGTTTGTATATTTGCGAACGTTGTACGCATTTCCAATGGATTCGACGAGAAAATCAATTCGGGGGTCAATCAATTCTGTGGTCGATCCCCTACTCGAAGAATGCCGCAGGATCCATGAAGTCAAAACCGCCCCGGGCTGGCCCCGGGCTGGTCCCGGGACGCCCGGGGAGGCTCCGAAGACACGCCAAGAGGGCCCCGAGAGGCCTGAGTCGGCCCGCGAGGTCTCCAGGGTGCTCCCTGAGACCTCCCCAGGAGCTTCCCCAGAGGGCCTCCTCCTCCTCCTCCTCCTCCTCCTCCTCCTCCTCCTCCTCTTTCTCCTCCTCCTCCTCCTCTCCTCCTCCTCCTCCTCCGCCTCCTCCTCCTCCTCCTTCTCCTCCCCCTTCTCCCCCTCCTCCTCCTCCTCCTCCTCCTCCTCCTCCTCCTCCTCCTCCTCCTCCTCCTCGTCCTCCTCCTCCTCCCGAGCAAGAAAAAACATTGACTTTCTTTGTTTTTTGTGCAAGGTGCTTGCCTTTGCCGTTCTCGCTCTGTCGGCTCCCAGGCGGTCCACGACCGCCCAGGACGTCCTTAAGACGGCCCCAAGACGGCCGCAGAGGCCCCCAAGAGAGCCCCAAGACGGGCCAAAAGAGCCCCCAAGTCGGCTCAACAGGCCCCCAGGTGGGCCCCAGACGCTCGAGATTGACCCAAGATTGGCCCAAGCTGGCCCGAGAGGCTTCCATGGTGCTCCATGAGACTTCCCCAGGACCTTCCCCAGAGGGCCCCGAGGCCCTGGCGCGCTTCCAAAATGGCTGAAGAGCGTTCCGAGCCGCCCCCGGAGGTCCCCAAGAGGGCCCCAAGAGGGCCCCAAGAGGGCCCGAAGACGGTCCAAGAGGGCCTCCGAGACGGGCCCGCCCCGAGCGCTCGAAGACGCCCAAGACAGCCGCCCCACGGCCCAAGAGGCTCCCAAAATGCTCCAAGTTGGCCCCATAGAGAGCCCAGGAGAACCCCAACAAGTATCAATCGTCCCAATCCCAAGGGAAACGCACATTTCGGGAGTTCCCATCTTGTTTGTCTTCCAAGCGTTCAAGACGGCCACACAGGCCCTCAAGATCGTCCCAAGACGCTTCAGGAGACTGCCAGGAGGGCCCCAAGACGGCTCAAGACTGCGCCAGGACGGTTCCTCAGGCGCCCATGGCGGCCTCAAGAGGAGGGCAGGACAGGGTGGGAGCGCTCCCGAGGGGCCCCAAGAGGGGGCCAGGAGGGCCCCAAGATTGCCCCGATAAGGCCACAAGACGCATGTACTTGGGCGCCCACCTCGCAAGCCCAAGAAGCACATCAAGCACACGCGGATTGGGGCACTCCTGGGGCCCCCTTGGGGGCGCTTTCTTGCGGGCTTCTTGAGGCCTTCGGGCCCCTCCAAGACAGGGCCGGGCGCCTTCTGCCACAGAACGGCCTCTCGTGGCAGAGTGGTGGGCCCGCGCCCCGCGGCGTCCTGGGCCCCTCCGGGAGCCCTCTTGGACCCAAGACAGCCTCCTTCTCCTCCTCCTCCTCCTCCTCCTCCTCCTCCTCCTATCCTTATTCCTTATTAGAATATACTCCTACTCCCCCCTCAGGCCGGCAGATAGCGGGCGCATCCGGGTGGTCCCATCCTAACCTGTAAAAAACAAGACAAAATCAACATGTTTCTTATTTTTCCCTCTCGACATGGACGTCCTGTCGTCCACGGCGATAATCCTTTGCAAAAAAATACAACAAAGAGCACACGCGCGCGTTCATGTCAGAATCCTACCGAACACCGTGTGTTTGCAAGCATTTCAACATAAAAACATCAAAAAACCCTATGCTTTTTCATAAAAAATATACAAATTTCCCGCCCGGGCTCTCTTGCTGAAATCATAGGAAAACCATCGGAATCTTAAGAATTCTGTCAAATCCAGCGATTTCACGTCATCGCGCGGTGCACTCGCGATGCTCTGCCATGCACCCAGGCCGCGAATCCTGCGCAAAAAATATTACAAAGAGCACACTCGCGCGTTCATGTCAGAATCCTACCGAATACCGTGTTTTTGCAAGCATTTCAACATAAAAACATCAAAAACCCAATGCTTTTTCACAAAAATGCTTTGGGGTGTCCTGTCAGACCGTCGGGCTTCCTCCGGCCACCTCTGGCTTCCTGCGGTGTACCGGGCCATTCTCGACTCGTCTGGCAATGCGTGCGCGGCATTCAACACGCGCTCGCCAGTTCCCGTCGGCAACCGCCATCGCGGCCGCATCAGCTGTACCAAACCGGCTGGCCGGTGTGACTTCGGCCCCCAGTTGTGCCAGCTTTGCTTCTTATGTTGTGGGAGGGCGGGTGGGACTGGGCATGCCATGCTTGACTCGCTCGAGCTGGCTAGCTTGATTCCTACTCCTACTCCTACTCCTACTCCTACGACGGCTCCAACACGGCCCCGAAGGCACGCAAGACAGCCCCAAGAGCCGCTGAGACGGTCCAAGACGGCTCCCACCAGACGGTCCAAGAGGCGCTCAAAACGGCCCAGGACGGTTCCGAGACGGCCCAAACTGCACCGACGAGAGCCCACGAGGGCCCGAAGAGGCCCCCTCGAAACCCAACAGAAGCTCCAAGAGGCCCCGACACGGCCCCTAGGAGACCCTAAGTGGCTAGCCGTGGGATCATCGCGCAGAGGCGCCGCGCGCCCGAACTACCTCCCCGCAAGCGTTCTGTGTCTCGCTGCCGCCGCCGCCGTCATCGTCTCCGTCGGGCGGCGCCGGCAGGCGCCACGGAGCCTGCCGGTGCAGCTCGGGGGGCTGCTGTGGAGGGGGCGGATAGCCTTTCGGCACCATTCTTGTTGCTCCCCCCTAGAATACTATTGGCCAGATGTCGTGGATGGAGTCCACGGGTCAGCCCTAGTCTCTTCAACCATTTAGCGATCTTTGCGTGCCAGAAGGTCCTCCGTCTTGAAATGTCCGCCAGGGTTTCCAGGCCGCCCTGCGTGTCCCCGGGCCGTTCCGACACGGCTCAGAGACGCCCACGAGGGCGCCCCGACAGACCAAGAGGGACCCAACCGAACCCCAGGTCGGCCCAGGAGGCCTCCAAGGCAGACCAGGAGGCTCCCAAGCCGGCCTAAGAGGACCCCCAGGAGGGACCCAAGAGGCAAAAATTGCCCCAGTCCCTTCGGAAAACGTTAATTTTTTATATGCTCGCTCTTTTCGTCTTCACCGCGTCCAAGTCGGCTGTGCAGGCGTTCCCGATCGCCCCAAGACGCCCCCAGAGCACCCCAGGAGGGCCCCCGAACGGCCCGAACGACCCCAGGAGGGCACCCCAGGACGGCCCCGCGACGGCTCCAGAGACGCCCTAGACGGCCACAGAGGCAACCGAGACAGCCCCAAGAGCGGTCAATAACGGCCCAAGGCGGCCCCAAGACGGTCCGAGCTGCGCCCAAGACGGCCCCACACGGCCCCACGACGGCCCAAGAGGCATTTAAGACGGCCCAAGAGGGACCCAAGGGATTCCCGGGAGGCCGGAAACAGGCCCCCAAACCCCCCACGAAGGTTCCAAGACGGCCCAAAGCGGCCCAAGACGGCCTCCGAGAAGGTCCAAGAGCGCTCCAAAACGCCAATGTTACCCTTCCGACGGCCAAGAGGCTTCCCAAGACGCTCCAAGTGGGCTCCAAGACGAGCCCCAAGAGAGCCCGAACAAGCACAAATCTCCCCAACCTCTGAAACGTAAATTTGTCCAATTCCCGTGCTTTTCGTAGTCAGAGCGTCTCAGAGGACAACTCACGCCCCAAAAATCGCCCCAGGACGCCTCCCGAGCGCACGAGGGCCCCAAGACAGCCCGAGACGGCCCCAGGGCCGCTCCCGAGGCGCCCACGACGGCCTGAGAGTCACCCCGGGCAGCCCCAGGAGGCGGTCCAAGACGGCCCCAAGACGGCCCCAAGCCGGCCCCAGAGGCATCCAAGACGGCCCCAAGACGGCCCAAGGGGCACCCAAGACGGCCCAAGAGGGCCCCAAGACGCTCCCAGGAGGCCGCAAGACGGTCGGAGGGAGCCCCAAAAAGGCCCCCAGAAGGTTGAAAAGAAATCCCGAGAGGCCCCCAAACTGTTCCAAAGGAGAAAGAATCGCCAGCCATCACTGGCCGCATAGGGAGCGTTCCCCTCCTCCGTGGGTGCGGGCGCGGGCGACAAGGCGCCGAATAATGAACAGCAACATGGGCGCTACTTCCCTTTACTATTGCCTCCCAGCTCCAGGGCGCCCTTCGCCGCTGCCGCTCAAGTGAGGCGAGATACACCAGAGGCCCCCAGGGAGCGCAGTCCCCAACACCGTCTGATTCCAGAGGGGCGCGGAAACGGCGTTCAAAAGTACGTGGTCCCCTTCGAATCCACAGCGAGCCCCCATGCGCAGCCCACCGTGCGACATTCCGAGCGCCGTGGGGCAGTATCGACCTCTCCCGTGGGCACAAAGTAGGCAGCAGCAGCGGCGGCACACAGCAGCAGCAAGCGGCGGCAGGCAGCGGGTAGAAGCACGCACCAAGCGGAACTGGCCATCAGCGACAACCTGCAGACACAAGCAGCAAGAACACGCAGCAGCGGCCTCAAACATTGCCAACAGTACGCAAAAACGGCAGCAAGCAGCAGCACGCAGTAGCATGCGCGGACTTTGAGGTCGGGCCCCGCAATCAGGTGCCAGTTCGTGCAGATTTCGTGGACGGAGTCCACGGGTCAGTCCTACCGACGTCGCCAGCCTCTTTCTGGTTCCCACAACCCACGACGACGACCACCACCACCACGACAACGACGCCGATTACGACGGGTACGACGGCGGCCTCGCGGCGGCGACGACAACGACGCTGACGATGACGGCGACAGCGGCGGCCCCGCGACGGCGAAGCTGCTGGAGCGCTGCTAGAGCTCGGACACGACGGCGCGGTCTCGCTGCCGCCGCCCCGGTCGCCGCTGTGCTTGTTGGTTTCTGGCAGAATTGAAATTTGCCCTAGTCAGCTACAACGCTGGGATCAGCGCGTGCGAGAAGGGCGAGCAGTGGCAGCGGGCGCTGGCGCTGCTGAGCGAGATGTGGGAGGCGAAGCTGGAGCCCGACGTCTTCAGCTACAGCGCTGGGATGAGCTCGTGCGAGAAGGGCGGGCAGTGGCAGCGGGCGCTGGCGCTGCTGAGCGAGATGCGGGAGGCGAAGCTGGAGCCCGACGTCAGATTTTGTCGATGGCGGACATCAGCGCGTGCCAGAGGGGCAAAACAGCGCATGTGAACCACTGCGCCCCCGGGAGGGCCATTTTTCGATACCCCTCACGCAGATATTGTCCCCCGAGCGTCACAAATCGAGCCCTCCGCCCAAAGACGCGCCGAAGTGGTCATAAGAGGCTCCAAGGAGCGCCCAAGAGGCCCCCTAGAGGCCCCCAACAAGGCCCAAGAGGCCTCCAAGAGCCTCCAACAGTTCCGAAGCATGCCCCCAGAGGCCAAAACCCATAATTCCCAATATGTTTCGTGGGGTTATGGTGTTCTTCTCTGCCGCGTCGCACCCGCGTCTCACACCCTCTCCCACCCCTCCCTCTCCCGCAAAGCGTGGCAGACGTGACATACATACATACACACACAGGCACACCGACACAGACACATACACACAGACACACACACACACACACAGACACACACAGACACAAACACACATACACAGCACAACTCAGCTCGGCACAGCACAGCACAGCTCAGCACAGCAGAGCACAGCAGAGCACAGCAGAGCACATGACACGCCATACACAACACGCACGTGTAGGATGCGCAGGCCACGGCAGGCATGGCACTTTCTCGACACCAGAGGGAGTGCGTTGGTGGTCGTCCCTGAGCGCGGTGTTCGACACCATATGGGGTGCGCAGGAGGTGGTCCCTGAGCGCGGCCGCTATCCGAGACGGTCGTCCAGGGCATGGCAGGAGTGGCACTTTCTCGACACCATAAGGAGGGTGCGCAGGTGGTGGTCCCTGAGCGCGGCCGCTGTCCGAGACGGCCGTCCAGGGCAGAGCAGGAGTGACACTTTCTCGACACCCTAGGGGGTGCGCAGGGGGTGGTCCCTGAGCGCGGCCGCTATCCGAGACGGCCGCCCAGGGCATGGCAGGAGTGGCACCTTCTCGACACAATCGGGGCTGCGCAGGAGGTGGTCCTTGAGCGCGGCCGCTATCCGAGACGGTCGTCCAGGGCATAACAGGAGTGGCGTTTTCTCGACACCGTAGGAGGTGCGCAGGGGGTGGTCCCTGAGCGCGGTCGCTATCCGAGACGGTCGTCCAGGGCATAGGAGTGGTCCCTGAGCGCGGCCGCTATCCGAGACGGTCGTCCAGGGCATGGCAGGAGTGGCACTTTCTCGACACCATAAGGGGTGCGCACGGGGTGGTCCCTGAGCGCGGCCGCTGTCCGAGACGGCCGTCCAGGGCATAGCAGGAGTGGCACTTTCTCGACACCCTAGGGGGTGCGCAGGGGTGGTCCCTGAGCGCGGCCGCTATCCGAGACGGTCGCCCAGGGCATGGCAAGAGTTGCACTTTCTCGACCCCATAGGGGCTGCGCAGGAGGTGGTCTTTGAGCGCGGCCGCTTTCCGAGACGGTCGTCCAGGGCATAGCAGGAGTGGCGTTTTCTCGACACCGTAGGGGGTGCGCAGGGGGTGGTCCCTGAGCGCGGCCGCTATCCGAGACGGTCGTCCAGGGCATGGCAGGAGTTGCACTTTCCCGACACCGTAGGGGGTGCGCAGGGGGTGGTCTTTGAGCGCGGCCGCTATCCGAGACGGTCGTCCAGGGCATGGCAGGAGTTGCATTTTCTCGGCACCATAGGGGGTGCGCATGAGGTGGTCTCTGAGCGCGGCCGCTATCCGAGACGGTCGTCCAGGGCATGGCAAGAGTGGCACTTTCTCGACATTGTTTTGGGGGTGCGCATGAGGTGGTCTCTGAGCGCGGCAGCTATCTGAGACGGTCGTCCAGGGCATGGCAGGAGTGGCCATTTCTCGACCCCATAAGGGCTGCGCAGGAGGTGGTCTCTGAGCGCGGTCGCTATCCGAGACGGTCGCCCAGGGCATAGGAGTGGCATTTTCTCGACACCGTGAGGGGTGCGCAGGGGGTGGTCCCTGAGCGCGGCCGCTTTCCGAGACGGTCGTCCAGGGCATGGCAGGAGTGGCACTTTCTCGACACCATAGGGGGTGCGCAGGGGGTGGTCCCTGAGCGCGGCCGCTGTCCGAGACGGCCGTCCAGGGCATAGCAGGAGTGGCACTTTCTCGACACCCTAGGGGGTGCGCAGGGGGCGGTCCCTGAGCGCGGCCGCTATCCGAGACGGTCGCCCAGGGCATGGCAGGAGTGGCACTTTCTCGACACAATATGGGCTGCGCAGGAGGTGGTCCCTGAGCGCGGCCGCTATCCGAGACGGTCGTCCAGGGCATAGCAGGAGTGGCATGTTCTCGTCACCCTAGGGGGTGCGCAGGGGGTGGTCCTTGAGCGCGGCCGCTATCCGAGACGGTCGCCCAGGGCATAGTAGGAGTAGCACTTTCTCGACACCGTAGGGGGTGCGCAGAGGGTGGTCCCTGAGCGCGGCCGCTATCCGAGACGGTCGTCCAGGGCATGGCAGGAGTGGCACTTTCTCGACATTGTATAGGGGGTGCGTATGAGGTGGTCTCTGAACGCTGCCGTTATCCGAGACGGTCGTCCAGGGCATGGTTGGAGTGGCACTTTCTCGACATTGTACAGGGGGTGCGCGGGGGGTTGTCTTTGAGCGAGGCCGCTATCCGAGACGGTCGTCCAGGGCATAGTAGGAGTAGCACTTTCTCGACACCGTAGTAGCACTTTCTCGACACCGTAGGGGGTGCGCGATCGAGACGGTCGTCCAGGGCATGGCAGGAGTGGCATTTCTCGACACAATAGGGGGTGCGCAGGGCGTGGTCCCTGAGCGCGGCCGCTATCCGAGACGGTCGTCAGGGCACAGCAGGAGTGGCAGTTTCTCGACACCGTAGGGGTGCGCAGGAGGTGGTCCCTGAGCGCGGCCGCTATCCGAGACGGTCGTCCAGGGCATAGCAGGAGTGGCACTTTCTCGACACCGTAGGGGGTGCGCAGGGGGTGGTCCCTGAGCGCGGCCGCTATCCGAGACGGTCGTCCATGGCATGGCAGGAGTGGCACTTTCTCGATATTGTATAGGGGGTGCGCATGAGGTGGTCTCTGAGCGCGGCCGCTATCCGAGACCGTCGCCCAGGGCATAGCAGGAGTGGTACGTTCTCGACACCATAAGGGGCTGCGCAGGAGGTGGTCCCTGAGCGCGGCCGCTATCCGAGACGGTCGCCCAGGGCATAGCAGGAGCGGCACTGCCTTGACACCGTAGGAGGATGAGGCTGTCATCACCCCAGCCATACTATAAGTATGTGGGGTCCCTCGGTAGCGTAAATGTGTTTGGTTTTTGAAGGAGTTCTGCCTTCTCGCCGTCTCGGCTAGCCGACGCTCCAATACGGCCGCAGAGACCGTCACAAATCGAGCCCTCCGCCCACAGACGCGCCGAAGTGGCCGTAAGAGGCTCCGAGGAGCGTCCACGAGGCCCCCTAGAGACCCCCAACAAGGCCCAAGAGGCCTCCAAGAGTCCCCAACAGTCCTCCGGAGCATGCCCCCAGAGGCCAACATCTTTAATGAATTGTTTAATGATTTTTGAAGAGTTTTGCCTTCTCGCCTTCTCGGCTAGCCGACGCTCCAAGACGGCCGCAGAGATCCACGAGGCCGCCCCAGGAAGGCCCAACAGGCCTCCACGCGCGCCCCCAGACGGCCCAGGGAGCCCCAAGATGGCCCACGAGGCGCCCAAGACGGCCCCAGAGAACCCCGAGCCAGGACCAAGAGGGGTCCAAAGAACAGGACAAACCCTGACTGTCCGACCCAAGATAGCCCACGAGGCACCCAAGACGGCCTCAGAGAACCCCGAGCCAGGACCAAGAGGGGTCCAACGAACGGGGAAAAAACATGACATTCCGACCCTTGGGCCCCCATACGCCCACACAAGGCCCCAAGACCCCCCCCAAGGGAACGCCAAGAGGTCCCCAGGGACCCCGAAGAAGCCCAACGCAAGCCCCACGAGGCCCCAAGACGGCCCCCAAAGGGCCCCAAAGCTGCCTCCAAGAGGGACCCCAGAGGCCTCTGAGCCATTACCCAGGCACAGGCACGGTGGCGGATTTCGCCGAAGGCCATGAGGCTTCTTGGACGGCCCCACGGTGGCGGCTTTCCCTGAAGGTCCCGAGGCTTCCTAGACGGCCCAAGGCGGCCACCCGACTCCCATGATACCTCCTACCCGCCTCAGGAGCTTCCCGTCATACCTCCCAGGCGAGACAGCTCCCAGATGCTCCATCTGGGCTCGAAGCAGCGCTCCAATAGAGCTCGAACGCGGAGACGGCCCAAGAGGGCCCGAGAGGTAATCTTTCCAGGGGGGCTGTGCTTTCCAGGAAAGTGGCTTCTGGGGATGGGTGCGGATTCTGGGTTGTATTCCTACGTGTGGTGCAGGCGCCATGGCTGCCTTCCATGGTCGGGGCGGTCGCCGACCCCGCGCCGCCGACGGCGTCAAATTTTGGCCACGTTATTTTGGCCATCCTCGGATAATTCACGTACTCAGGACGCTTCTCCCTGGGGTGTTCGTTGACCTTGGTGCTGGCGCGCATCCCCTCGGCCGCCAGGCCATCAATCGGGGCATATGTCCCCTGGACTTTCATTTGAGTTGGTGCTGGCGCGCATCCCCTCGGCCGCCAGGCCACCGTCCCAGAGGCGAATTCCCCCTCCTTCCGTTTCCTCTCCCTCCCCCTTCCCCCCCCCCTCTGTGGCTGCCCACCCCCTCCTATTCCCCCTCCTTGTCCTCCTTCCTCCCCTCCGTCCCATCCCACATATTGTTATTGCACTTGAGCGTCGATCGGGGCATATGTCCCCTGGACTCTCATCTGAGTTGGTGCTAACGCGCATCCCCTCAGCCGCCAGGCCATCGCCCCAGAGGCGAATTTCCTCCTTCCGTTTCCCCCCCCTCCCCCCCCCCTTTCTGCGGCTGCCCATCCCCTCCCCTCCCCCTTCATTTTCCTCCCTCCCTCCCCCCGGGCCAGAACATATATTGTTTTTGCGCCATTGCGCTTTAGCGTGACCAGCATACCAAAGCAGTCGCTCGCCCCCCCCTTCCCGCAGCCGTCTTGGCTCGCTCAAGCCATGGAGGTT